CTGTGGCTTCGTCCTCAGGTGAGGCGTAGCTGTGGCCGTCATTAGCGTAGACGCGGTTCGCGTTCGTCTGCTCGTCTTCGCGGAACTGCTGGAGGAAGAGGCGCTCGTAGAAGATGACGTCGCGTGCGTTCTTAACTTTCTGGCTCAGAAGGTCCAGAATGATCCACGCCTTGTGTTCGTGGCTGATGCCGAGGTGGATCCCCCAGCGCGCGCGGCTCTTGAATTTCCCGATGGTTGATGTCGGCGGGCGATATTGGACCATGCACCCCCACACGCGGAGCATGGATGTGTCGCCCTTTCTTCCCGTCCATGTCACGTGTGGTGAGGAGTTCCTGGTGATTGCGGTAGTTGACAGTAGGTTGTGCACCCGCACGGCGTGGTGCATTGCGTAGGTCCAGTAGATCGGCGGAAGCTTCGACTGCCTCATTAGCGCCCGCACCTTCGTCATGAGAGTGCGATTCATGCGCTCTGCTACGCCCTGCTGCTGGTGTGCATATGGGAGGGAAATGTGATGCTCGATCCCCTTTTGTGCAAGGTAATCCTGCAGCTCCTTGCTCCTGAACTCCGCCGCGCCATCGGACTGCCAGATCTTCAACTTCTCCCCGGATTGCCGCTGCGCGTGCGCCAGCCATAAGCGGAATGCCTCGTATGCCCTGCTTCGCGCTTCCACGTTTACGACCCACACGTGGCGCGTTCCAGCGTCGACGAAGGTGAGCGTGTAGAGCTCGTCGTTGATGCCGCAATGTCCTACGTTGAGAAAGTCACTGTAAACTTTCTCCAACTTGGCGTAGCGATTGGTTCCTGGCTCGAGCAAGGGGAAGGGCTGGTGACTCAGCGCGGCCTCGGGGCAGATGGTGCAGGTGTGCGGGTGAGTTCCGCCTCTTACTTCGAAGCCGTCAGGGCGCAGAAGTGCGCCAGGTGCGAAGACGCCGACCTCGATACAGTTCTTCAGGGTCACGCGCGAAGGGTGACCTAGGCGCTGGTGCCAGATGGCATCGTCGGCGCGAAATCCGGAGGTGCGCATGTAGCGCGCGAGTGCTTCTGCGGGATCCTCATCAGGTGCCTGCTGCAGAGTCGCCGCTGCTACTTCTGCTTTGTCTTCTCCGTTTGCCGTCGTTAGCATTAAGGCGAGAAATTCCCTGTCAAGAATAACGGAGAGGGGGATATTGGTTTCAGGAATGGTTCCTGGGAAGAATGTTGGTTCGGGCGGTTCGGGGGCAGGCCCGTAGACGGAACGTCGCGGGGTTGACGGTTCGTTCCCCCAGTCGATAGTGTCCCATGGGTCACTTCCTGGCGGGATATCAGGTGGGGGAAGTGCAGGTGCAAGGCGACGCGGGGGACGACCAAGAGGGACCACAGGAGGTTCGGCCTCAATAGCCTCCTCAATCGTTTCTTCTTCCCCCCTTTGGTCCTCGCGGAAGGCTCCCCAACTGCTCGTCTCGCCACCAGATGCGGCGCCCCACCCGCCGGTGTTGCCGCCGATGTCTGCTTCCCAGCCGCCAGTTGCGGCGCCCCATCCGCCAGTGTCACCACCAGTATCGCTCGTGCCCCATCCGCCGGCGTTTCCCCACCCCCCTTCATTGGAGGCGCTCTCTTCGTCGCCCCATCCGCTCCAGGCGAACGTTCCGCGTGACTCTGCAAGGCCCCGTCGGCGAAGTTCTTCCGCTTCGCGGCGCGCCAGATCCTCCTCTTGGGCGACGGTGAGTTTCGTCGCAGGGTCGCGCTGATGAGGGTAGACCTCCAGGAATTTCTCCTGTGTGTAGGGTCGCGGATTTCCTTTCGCATCGAAGGTCCCGACACCAACGCCGCGCAGCATTCCGCGAAAGTGTTGTGATGCAGGTCCTGGGAGGGGAGCTTCCTCCGTTCCGAAGACGATGCGCGTGGCCGTCTCGAGCTCCAGGTGAGACAGCCCTTCTACAGGCGGTGCTTCCTGCTCTGCTTCGGCGATGGCGGCAAGGCCACGGCCGGCGATCGCGCTCGTCGAGGCTGTGGGCGTGTGACAATCTCTGCAGATGCCGTCGGGGTCGGGGTCATGCAGCGCCGTTTCGCGCGGGTGTGGGTGGTGCGGCACCCATGGGCGCCCATCAGGATGCTTCCAGTCACGGTGGTGCATGTGTTCGAAACACAGAGGAACGAGGTCAATGAGTTCCTGCGAATCACCGCTGCAGTCGGGAATATCGAAGTCGAGAACGTACACCCCGTTCTCGGCGTGTGCTCGTCCGATCTGCTTACGCATTTTGTTTGGCATCGTGAAGTGAAGCAGGATGTCGCGCGTCTCGGGGTCGGTGCTGAGGACAACTCCGCAATCCATGAGTTGCGCCGCCGAGAGGAGATTGAAACGCAGGTTCTGCACGATCAACACATCATTGAGTGTGATGTGCGTTCTGCTCCCACGTGCCTTGAGCACGACGATGCCTTGCGCGTTTGCGCGCAGCCGCGTGTTGTTTGCCACGGTGACGTAGGTGACGGCGGGAGTGGCGACGGTGTTGGATATGTAACGCTCGGAGCCCACCATGTGCTGCCCACAGCAGCTATCCAGGTACCACGTGTTGTAGCGCCTGTTGTCGTTATGCGCAAGCAGCGCCAGTCGCGGAGTAACGATATGCGGTGTGTCGACCTTGAGAAATTGTTCGCGCGCGATCCAGTCGATCGGTGCCGGCCGTGTGTCTGGTACGTGCGGGGGGCTCTCAAGCAGCGGGACTGGCAAGTTCCAGTCCTGGTTGTCGTCGTCGGTGTAATCGTGGCGTGTGCTAAACGGATTGTTGTCCGAAAACGCTCCGATTGGGTGAGGCGCCGGCTCCGGTGATAGTGAGCGCGCACGGGGACGACGAGATCCGCTCGTCAATGTCATGTTGCCCATGACGTTGCGGACGGGGGCAGCCTGTGATGGCTGCTGCTGCTGCTGAACTGCCTGGTTCAGGTTGCGCGATGGGGGTTGATACCCCTGGGCGGGACGCGTGTCGTTCCTCGCGTCTTGTCGGCCGGACCAGTTGCTCGGATTGGTCTGACGAGGGCGAGATCGATGCTTGCATCGATCTGCCAGGTGCCCGAAGTTTCTGCAAATTTTGCAGTGGAGGCGCCGCGGCCGTCGCTCTTCCGTGTTGTCGGCGTAGAAGGCGAGGCGTTCCCTCTCTCGTCGCGGCGCTGGTCGCTGCTGATCCATATCCCGTTGTTCGACGAGGAGGGCGGCGCAAAGGGCGGCCTCCGAGATGACCCCCTGCTGTCGGAGAAGCGCCTTGCAGGGCCGCCACTCTGGGCCGAGCCCTTGAAGCACAATGTTGACGAAGATCTCTTCGGAGATCGTGCTTCCCAACTTCGCGATTTGATCGCGTAAGCTCCGACAGCGATTCAGGTAACTATTGGCCTTCTCTCCTGGCGCCATCTTCGTCTCCAGTAGCTGCTGGAGTAGGCGGCTCGACGACACCGAGTCCTTTGGCTGATACACACCATTCAGGTGGCGCCAGGCGTTGAGGGCTGGAGCAGGCGAGGTTTTGTATGAGCGAATGATCAATTGCTCCGTCGGCGACATATTTCGAAGAAGAACCCCGTACGCCATCAGGGACTCGTTGTAGTACTTGATTTTTGCGTCGTCAGTTTCTTCCGCAGGTCCCGAGTAGCTCCCGTCGAAGTAATGATAAATCTGCGCGTTTTGTAGCAGCAGCTCCAGTTCGAAGCTCCAAGTATAGAAGTCTCTGCTGTCAAAGCACACACTTGTCTTTATTTTTGATATGCTCAAAAACCTTGATTGCGCAGAGAGAATTGCTTCGTCGGTGGGACAGGGAGTCTTGGATGTTGAGCCGTTTGTGTCAAGAGAGAAGCCTTGCGGGGCGGAGTTCTGGCCATTCGAGGCCGGTTGAGTGGGTTGGGAAGACGTTCCCGCATCGCCATTCCGCAATGTTTGGAGCCCTTGTTCCAGGCTCGTGAGTCGCTGAAGCAGTTGTGCAAGGACGACGGAAGGGATTGTCGTCGTCTCCTCGCTTGTCGCAGCCGGATTGGTCTGCGCTTCAGCCGTCAGATTCGTCTGACCTCCAGATCCTCCGGCCATTCTCACACGTGAACGTGTGCCGGACGCCACTTTCCGTTCGGCGAAGATTTCGGTGGTGGCGGTGCGAAGGATTCCTGAGTCGCTCTCATACCATGTTGCGATCAGAAGTTGATCGACCTCAGGAAGGTTCGCACACTCCTAATGTAGTGGTGGTGGGCCCTTGACCTCAATAGCAGAGTGAATGTAAATGCTTGAGATAATAAAAACATGCAGTACAAGGAATATAAATAAGAGTACAGGGGAATTTGAATCGACCTAGGTAGCCATGTACTCTAAGGGGTACATTCCCTTATTACATCGGAATCCAACCGTGTGACTCCAGACAGTTATGAAACTGTCCGGGCAGAATCCTCGCCACTGCTGCTGCCTGATGCTGTCTGCCCGACGGTCCAGATGCTCTCGTAACCGTGCGACTCTTCGCGTCACTTGTGCCTTTTCGCCTTCACTCTCGGTAGTGCGTGCTTCGTTTGCTGCGGTGAGGAGTGCATAGTAATGTTTCAATAATTACTATTCGTAACACCTACAACCCTCCCTCCCTCCTTCCCTCATCTCCATCCCACTCCCTCATCTCCCTTCTCAGCTCACGCACGCGCCCTGCACAAAGAAAAACCAGTGAAGTCAACACACACACGCCCAGGCAAAAACAGGGAAGTCAACACACACACGCCCTGCACAAAGTTAAAACAGGGAAGTCAACACACACACGCCCTGCACAAGAAAGCAAAACACACCTTGCACAAAAATCAGTGCATGTTCATACACTGTGTACAAGAAAGCAAAAATAGGATACCGCAACACACGTGCTCTTACAGGTGGCCAAGCAAGAAGTACAAATCACCCTCCCTCACATGCATTGCAGAAGGCGTCAACGCATAGCAGAAAGGCGCCAGTGCACTGCAGTGCACAAGTGCGCTGCGAGGCGCCGATGAGCTAGAGCTTACGTCCTAGCGAGCTCATGCGCTCCCTCACGCGCTCCCTCACGCGCTCTCACTCGCACTCTCACTCGCACTCGCACTCTCATGTGCCCTCTTGCGCGCTCTTTGGCACGCTCTCTCGCGCGCTCTCACGCGCTCTCTCACGCGCACCCTCACTCGCTCTCTCGCGCACTCTCATGCGCTCTCTCACGCGCACCCTCACTCGCTCTCTCGCACTCTCTCATGCGCTCTCTCACGCGCACTCTCACGCGCTCTCTCACGTGCTCTCTCACGCGCTCTATCAAGGCGCACTCTTAGGGGCACTCTCAAGCGCTCTCTTTCGCGCTCTTTTTCCCGTACGCTCACGCGCATTCTCTCTCTTACGTCCTTTCTCTCGCGCACTCTCACGCACATTCTCTCTCTCAAACACTCTCTCACGTGCACCCTCACACGCTCCCTCACCCGCTCTCTCACGCGCTCTCACACGCGCTCTCTCACGCGCTCTCACACGCGTTCTCTCACCCGCTCTCTCATGCGCACTCTCACGCGCTCTCTCACGCTCCCTCACGCGCTCCCTCGCGCACTCTCAGGCACACTCTCACGCACTCCCTCTCGCGCTCTCTCTCGCGCACTCTCACCACATTCTCTCTCTCGCGCACTCTCACCACATTCTCTCTCTCGCGGACTATCACACGCATTCTCTCTCTCGCGCTCTCACGCGCACTCACACGCGCTCCCTCACGCGCTCTCTCATGCTCACTCTCACGCGCACTTTCACGCACTCTCTCCTGTGCTCTCTCACGCGCTCTCTCACGCGCTCTCATGCGCCCTCTCGCGCTCTCTCATGCACTCTCTCACGCGCTCTCTCAAGGCACACTCTTAGGCACACTCTCACGCACTCTCTCTCGCGCTCTCTCTCGCGCATTCTCACCACGTTCTCTCTCTCACGCGCTCCCTCACGCGCTCTCTCACGCGCTCTCTCACAAGCGCTTTCACGCACTCTCTCATGTGCTCTCTCACGCGCTCTCACGCACGCGCTCTCTTGCGCTCTCTCACGCACTCTCTTGCGCTCTCTCACGCGCTCTCTCACACGCTCTCTCACGCGCTCTCTCACGCGCTCTCTCACGCGCACCCTCACGCGCACCCTCACGCGCACCCTCACGCGCACCCTCACGCGCACCCTCACGCGCACCCTCACACGCTCTCTCATGCGCTCCCTCACGCGCTCTCTCACGCGCCCTCTCACTCGCTCTCTCACACGCTCTCTCACGCGCTCTATCAAGGCGCACTCTTAGGGGCACTCTCAGGCGCTCTCTTTCGCGCTCTTTTTCCCGCACGCTCACGCGCATTCTCTCTCTTACGTCCTTTCTCTCGCGCAATCTCACGCACATTCTCTCTCTCAAACGCTCTCTCATGCGCACCCTCACACGCTCCCTCACACGCTCTCTCACGCGCTCTCACACGCGCTCTCTCACGCGCTCTCACACGCGTTCTCTCACCCGCTCTCTCATGCGCACTCTCACGCGCTCTCTCACGCTCCCTCACGCGCTCCCTCGCGCACTCTCAGGCACACTCTCACGCACTCCGTCTCGCGCTCTCTCTCGCGCACACTCACCACATTCTCTCTCTCGCGGACTATCACACGCATTCTCTCTCTCGCGCTCTCACGCGCACTCACATGCGCTCCCTCACGCGCTCTCTCATGCTCACTCTCACGCGCACTTTCACGCACTCTCTCATGTGCTCTCTCACGCGCTCTCTCACGCGCTCTCATGCGCCCTCTCGTGCTCTCTCACGCACTCTCTCACGCGCTCTCTCAAGGCGCACTCTCAGGCACACTCTCACGCACTCTCTCTCGCGCTCTCTCTCGCGCATTCTCACCACGTTCTCTCTCTCACGCGCTCCCTCACGCGCTCTCTCACAAGCGCTTTCACGCACTCTCTCATGTGCTCTCTCACGCGCTCTCACGCACGCGCTCTCTTGCGCTCTCTCACGCGCTCTCTTGCGCTCGCTCACGCGCTCTCTCACGCGCTCTCTCACGCGCTCTCTCACGCGCACCCTCACGCGCACCCTCACGCGCACCCTCACGCGCACCCTCACGCGCACCCTCACGCGCTCTCTCATGCGCTCCCTCACGCGCTCTCTCATGCGCTCCCTCACGCGCTCTCTCACGCGCTCTCTCACGCGCTCTCTCACACGCTCTCTCATGCGCATACGCTCTCCCTCGCGCTCCATCTCTTTCTTCTTCAAATGAAAGTGCAATGCAAGTGGAGATCAATCGACACATCGGAGAGAAAAAAAAAAAATCAAAACAAAACAAAACAAAACAGGACGGAAATTTCAGAAGGGGGGAGGGAGGACGGAAGGACTAGGAACGCACCTGATAACCACGGTGCCTGAGAAAACAACCCGCGCTCGCGCACCAACCCGCGCTTGCGCTCGTGCACCTGTCGCCGGACGAGACGGCGGAGAGGGAAGGAGAGGCGACGGCGGGGAGTGGGGAGAGGCGACCGCGGGGAGGAGCGAGAGGCGACGGCGGGGAGGAGGGAGAGGCGACCGCGGGGAGGAGGGAGAGGCGACGGCGGGGAGGAGGAGAGGCGACGGCGGGGAAGGAGGAGATGCGACGGCGGGGAGGAGGAGAGGCGACGGCGGGGAGGAGGAGAGGCGACGGCGGGGAGGAGGGAGGCGACGGCGGGGAGGAGGGAGAGGCGACGGCGGGGAGGAGGAGATGCGACGGCGGGGAGGAGGATAGGCGACGGCGGGGAGGAGGGAGGCGACGGCGAGGAGGAGGGAGGCGACGGCGGGGAGGTAAGGGAGAGGAGATGGCGGGGTGGATGGGACGGAGTGATTGTGAGGTGGGTTGGAGAGGTGTCAGCGGGTAGTGAGGGAGAGGATACGGCTAGATGGGAGCGAGAGCGACGGCTAGGTGGGAGAAGAACTGGCGAGAAGGGGTGGGGGGGAGGGGAGGAAAAGGATTAGGAGCAGAGCAGGTTCCTGTCGAGAAGATTCAAGAACAAGAACCAAGAAAAGACAGCGCCGAATTCGAGCTGTGAAAGAGACGGATGCCAGCGCAGAACGATAAAATATCTGCCAGCAGAGCGAGAAAATTTATGCCAGCACAGGACGAGGGCATTCAGCGATGCCAAACGCCCAACCCGCTATAATAACCTGAAAGAAGAATGGAGTTAAGTTGTTGGTGAAAACAATTCATGTTTATAAAAATCACAAAAAGAGCATAAATGTCCAAGTTGTTCCACAATTAATTAACAACTTTGAGGGAAGCAACATCTATAGAAAATTTCGCTTCATAATAGGGAACTATCGAGCCTGACCTGTTTTAAGAAAAAATGAAGAACTTAATGAATTGCTTCTATAAGCAAAGTATAATTATAATGTATGGTATGTACTCTATCTTAATGTTTCTAACATAATGTTTCTAATACAAGGGATACAACTCTACGCAACCCTTCCGACGTAAACGTCGAGTCTTGTTTTCTTAATCCAGAGAACAATGTATACAAGTGCTGATTTGGGACGAGTTATCATCTGCACAAATGCCTATCAATCATAAGGGATGTTGATACATGTCATAATATTGGTCCTCTTGGAGCTTGCAGGGCTAGGTATCAAGTAGGGCTGCAGAAGTCTGAATTAATGCAAAACTTAATAAACAACTTTGTAACAAAACATATCTCATCTCATGTGTCTAAGGGGTAAAATGGTTGGTTTGGGAGAGAATTGTCAACACTTGGCGTCTCGCAGTCTTGCAACCGTCATCGTACATAACAAAAATGTACCAAGCATTCATGTGCCTCTGCATGTTATAACCAGTGTTTTACTTTAGAGATGCTCTACACTAATTATGCATTCATGTGTCTCCGTGTTGCATATTGTTACGATATGAAACTTTATGAGAAGGCATTCCTGTATGCTACAGGGACCGACTCTAAAGTGTACGAAGCCGAGGAGTCAGAAGAGTCGAAGCGACACTGGTAACCGTTTGATCAAGACCGATGCAGGCAGAAACATTCGAAGTGAAAAGAGCGGGAACAGGTTTGAAACGGGTTCCCGCGCCGCACTGTTTGAATTCACTGCAATAAGGGAATGTACCCCTTAGAGTACATGGCTAGTCTAGGTCTTTTCGTATTCCCTTGTATTCTTATATAAATCCGATGTATGCATGCTATTATCAACTCAGTCATTTACATTCACTCTGACCTGAGATTCAATCTTCCGCTGCAACACTACTCTGCGATCAACCCTGAGCGATCCTTCGCTAAGTCCCACTTGGGATTGTAACACATATCATACCATTTTGTATTGAGGAGGCCTGAAGTCCATAGAATTTTGCTGCTTAAGGTAACGAGTTTATATCAAGTGCAGAGTGAGCTGGTGTGATGGCGAAATGCGGTGGATTGCTGTGAATGTGACTCCTTGTCGAGTCATCTTGGACCACCACGTAGTCATCCTCCAATTCGCGCTGCGTGGGCGGTGTCCAGTGTCCACCTCAACTCCAGTTCATTGTAGGTTGGTTGGTGATGATGTGGAGAAAGTGCTGTCCCGTCCCGACGCAAGCTGAAAGCATCAGATCAGAACTCCCGGGACTGTCGAGTAGAAAGGCTTGGGGTGTGGGAGTTATCCTGCAGCCAGCTGCTACTATAGTTCGAGTTTAGACTTGCGTAGTGTTGGAAGCCCTCCGTTCTGTCTGCTCTCGGTGTACCTTCGATGATGGAGCCTGCGGAGGGAGCTAGCGCTGCGGCTGCGTCAATGAGGCTTCAAGTTCTTGCAAACCATCTTGAAGCTTCAACAGTTCTTGAGGACGGAACGAGGCAGTTAAGTGCAGAGTCATGTGCCAGGTCCTTGGTTCGGCGCCCGTTGAGCGCGGTTGTGCTCGCAGATTATATGGCCGGTCCTCATCAAGCTGTGAAGGACCAGGTCTATCGTTTTTTCAAGCTTCATCCAGAACTGGAAACTCCCGTCGAGATATCTAAGGACAAACACAGAGAGCTGGTTCTTCAGCAGATGCTTGGCCTTGTCAGAGAGGCCAATGTTAGGCCTCTTCAAGCACTTGTTGAGGATCCGACGAGATATTTCGCCATTTCAGAAGCTATTGGCCACATCGACCTATCTCTTGCTATCAAAACGGGAGTACAGTACAGGTAAGCCATTTTCAAGAAGTTGACTTACAGCTACTTGTAGTGTTTACATCTTACGATGCTTCGATTTTCATTATTGCAGTCTTTGGGGTGGGAGTGTTCTGAACCTGGGAACGAAGCGTCATTTTGACAAGTACTTTGACAAAATCGACAGCCTTGAGTATCCTGGATGCTTTGCCATGACCGAGCTTCACCACGGTAAGGCACAAGCCGTACAATTATAGCCCTCGTTTTTTTCTCTCGTGTTCCCTTCTCCCTTGGTCCCTTCGCTAACACCGATTTCTCCTGTCTCCCAGGATCAAATGTCCAAGGGATCCAAACAACAGCAACATTTGACAGGTCAACGGACGAGTTCATCATCAACACGCCGAATGAGGGCGCTACAAAGTGGTGGATCGGCAACGCGGCTTGCCATGGCAAGTTCGCAACAGTGTTCGCACGGCTGAGGCTTCCGTCCCCAACATCAAAAGTCCTGGAGGACCTGGGTGTGCATGCCTTCATTGTCCCTCTGAGGTACGTCTCCATTGGGTTTTGTTTCGTTTTTCCCGAATCCTGTCATTAACTAGGCTTTTGTGTCTTAACAGGAGTTTGGAGGACAACAGCGTTCTTCCAGGAGTTGAGATCCGAGACTGCGGTTACAAAGTCGGCTTGAATGGGATTGACAACGGAGCTATTCGATTCCATGACGTTCGGATTCCGCGAGAGGACATGCTTGACAGATTTGGCACTGTCTCTGCCGATGGCCAGTATAGCAGGTACGTTTTCCCTTTTGCGGTTTCAAAGGCTACGTAAGCTTTCTGTCCTTGTCTCATGCTGATATATGTGGAATGCAGTGAAATTTCAAGTGCGAACAAGAGGTTCGCTGCAACGTTGGGAGAACTCGTCGGAGGCCGAGTTGGTCTTGCGTTTGGCTCTGTGGGAATCCTGAAAGCAGCATCAACCATTGCTGTGCGCTATTCCCTCCTCCGACAGCAGTTTGGGCCGCCTAACAAGCCTGAAATTGCAATTCTTGATTACCAGTCACAGCAGCAGCGCCTGATGCCGATGCTTGCATCAGCGTATGCTTTCCATTTCGCAACAAATGAACTGGTGCAGCAGTATGCGGAAATGAAGCGAACCAAGGATGAAGCCCTGGTGTCAGAGGTCCACGTCCTTTCCGCCGGTCTTAAGGCTTATATCACATCCTACACCCAGGCTGCAATCAGCACATGCAGGTACAGTGATAACTTGTGTTGGTTCTTTCTTTTTCTCCACTTATGTAGGCGCATCAGTATCTCAACGTCTTAAACATTCTCTCCACTCTTTTGCACTATCCCAGGGAGGCATGCGGAGGCCATGGCTACGCTGCGGTGAACAGGTTTGGCCGGATGCGCAACGACCATGACATTTTCCAAACGTTCGAGGGCGATAACACTGTGCTGCTGCAGCAGGTATGTTACATAATTCTTGACGAGAGATAGCATGTCTATGAGTTTCTGGATTTGACCGTTTCTTTCTGATCATGATCAATGCAGGTAGCAGCAGACCTTCTGAAGCATTACAAAGAGAAGTTTTCAGGTGGTGCTCTTTCAGTGGGCTGGAACTACCTCCGTGATTCTATGGGCACGTACCTTGCTCAGACCAACCCAGTGACAACTCACCGTGAAGGTCAATCGCACTTGAGGGACCCTCAGTTCCAGCTCGATGCCTTCCAGGTGAGTCTGTTAATGCGACTATGTAAGCACCCAATGCCACTGCCACATTCTCACGCAGTCAACTCTAGCTTCTTTTTGTTCCTTCGGAAATCTTCCTTATCTTCGCCTTCCCATATGCAGTACCGCACTGCGAAGCTGCTTCACACGGCAGCGCTTCGGTTACGAAAGCACTCGAGGCGAATGGGGTCATTCGAAGCCTGGAACCGCTGTCTCAACCACTTGCTGGTCCTTGCCGAGTCCCATGTTGAGTCGGTGATCCTGGCTAGGTTCATCAAGGCAGTCGAGAGGTGAGCTCGTTTGACTAATTACACTGTTTCTTTTGTGGCATGTCATTCTAGGAAGGAAGTTAACATGTCTTTGCCGTTACTCTCAGATGCGAGGACAAGGCATGCAAGTCAGCGCTGAAGACCATGTGTGATCTGTATGCGCTGGAGCGCATCTGGGGTGACATTGGAACGTACAGAAATGAGGATTATGTTGCGCCCAACAAAGCCAAGGTAGTCTTCCATTTCACCTCCCATACGGGCCATACCCCTCTGCCCCTTCTGTTCCCTTTCGCCCCCTTCCTGACTTCGTGATTGGTTTCACCTACGGTAGTCCGTTTCTTGAACCCCACCTCTGCGTTTTCCAGCTTTAGCTTGCCAAATGCTCCCCGTTGACGTTTCACCTTCCTAACATGTGTCCTTCGCATTTCAGGCCATTCACCGCCTTGTGGAGTTCCTCTGCTACGAGGCCAGGGGCATGGCCAAGGAGCTTGTGGACTCCTTTGGCATTCCTGACGACCTGCTGAAAGCTCCAATTGGCCTCCAGTCAGGACAGTATGCTGAGTACCTCAGCTACGTCAGCTTCTGAGGGGGATGTGATGGAGTGCTACATTGCATGCACAAAGCTCGGCAAAGGATCTTATCTTCCATTTATTGATATGAAGTTTAGGTTTACTATGGTACCAGTGGTAGCTACTGTGTGTATAATATGGTAAGAGTGTTTTTTGCACTAGGAAGGAAGGCAATATTGCTAGCAAAATATGATGGTACATGGATTGGTACTGATATGATATCTTACCGTACTCAACATAGTAACCTCTCTGCTGCTCACTCACTCACCTCACCCCTATGAAGGAGAGTGGACTTTTTGCGATGTCCCTACACCGGTCATGAAGATGCTCACGAAAGGGCAAGCAGTCATTTGTCCCCGCTGCTACCAACTCATCAACCCCAACTCCCCTCCCCTCAGTTCCAGCAGCCCTCTCTACGTCCACAATGTAATGTAGTCTTCTCTCTCACCGCCCTCTCCCTCCTTTCCCGCTCTGACACAGGGAGCATGCGAATGCTCATGCACATGATACATGGGAGAATGCAAATTCCCAAGCCACTAGGGAACTGGGGAGCCCCGACTGTGCGCTTGTGATGACGTGCTCTGCTCTGCGACATCCAGATCATGGTACGGTATTACAAGAAAGGAGTCTCATAGAGGCACGCCTTTCAAGGCTTGTAAAGATCACGTACAGCTTACTATGATTATAACTATTGCACGCAAGTCAAGACACCCTAAGGGGTCCCACCACCTTTCTTGGACCACCCCTCCATAAGCTGATCCACAACTTCCTTAACTTCGTGCATTCTTCTATGTGCTTTCTTCTTCACCCCCTCCACAAGCCTCCCTCCAACATGCATCGCTTCTTCCACCAACTCAGATGCTCTGCTCCCTGCGTCACCACCCTTGTCCCCCCCAACACGGTGTTGTACTTCAACAGTGCGTGTGACTGCCTCCTCTTGTGCCTTCTGCGTTCCTGTCAACCGCTTTCCCAGCTCCCTCATTTGGCTCACCACCCCACCATATGACGCTTCTCCAGCAGCCGTGCCTCGCTGCAGGGCCACCCCTACAGCAGCCTTGGCGCCTTCAACGGTGGACGTGGCCTGCTGCTGCAACAGTTGAGCTAGTGCAGAAGGGTCACGAGGGACGGCCTGCCCTGCAGCCTTCACCCGCTCCACTGCTTGCTGCAGCAGCTGCCTGGCCTTCACTACCGCTGCATCAGGGCTCCATCCAAAGGCAAAGCCCCCACCGTTCTCCCTCTCTGCTGCTTGCTTCCTGGCTAGAATCCCTGCCACTCGCTCAAGCAACTGCTTCTCCTCGTCTGACGCTTCCACCGCTATGCTGCCATCTGTCCCTTCCCCTGCACCACCATCATCTGTTACTATGCTGGCACCATCCACGCTGCGCCCATCCTCCCCTCCCCTTATGTCGTTCTGTTGCTGCCACCGGCGCTGCAGCTGCAGGCGAGCCCTTCGCAGCTCCTCCGCTGCGTCCTGCACCAGCTGTGCCTGCTCCTCCGTCACATGCCTGAGGAGGTCACACACAGGCAGGATGAAAGAGAAGGAAACTTACTACAGGAACCAGATGAATGTTTAAACAGGTGAGAAGGCACAACATCCACATGAACCGTTAGGAGAAGGCATTACCATGAAAAGAAACCCACCTCTTTGCCTCCAGTTGCTCCTTCTCCACTCGCAGCTCCTCTGCTGCTTCAGCGGCAGCAGCAGCAGCAGCCCTCGCCTCAGCAAGTGCTTCCTCTGCTGTCCTCCGCTCCTGCTCTACCTTGCTAATCTGCTTCTCCACCTCCTGCCTCTGCTGCTCCACTGCTGCCTCCGCTTCCTCCCTCTCTCGCCGTGCCTCCGCCCTCATCCCTGCCAGCGCTTGTCGCTGCTGCTCCAGCTCCTCCTGTCGAGAGAGGGCAGCAGGGGTAGGAAAGGATCATGCCGAAGTGCTTCGCACACTTGGAGATCCACAGCACAAGAGAATGCTCGCACCAATGCAATGCACAAACATCACCAATCACCCTTACCCACCAAACGCAACCCGTGTCCATACGCATTCCTCCGCTCCCCACACTCTCGCACAACACCCCCGCCCTCCCCCCCGCCCCCACCCCTCACCTTCTCCGTCTGCAGCTCCGTCTCAAGGCGTTCCACCCGCGCCATAGCAGCCTCTGCCGCCCTCTCCGCCTCCTCCCGGCGCCTCCTCTCCACCGCCACCGCCTCTTCCTTTGCTGCCAGCACTGCTGCCTCTGCCGCTGCAGCGGCTGCTGCCTCCTCCTGCACCACAGCCATGGCGGCCTCGGCTATGTGCTCTGCTTCTACGCGTGCCATCTCCCCCGCCACCACCTCGCTCACCCCGCCCCCCGCCAGCGCCACTGCTGCCTGCCCGCGCGTCACTGGCTTGTGCGGGTCAAAGCGGCGCGTGAAGCCTGGAGAGGGGTGCGAGAGAGGGGTGGAGGCACGGGCGCGGGTGTTGGCGAGTGGTTTTGACCCATGTGCCAACATGGTATGGTTGCTGTATGCTGTGTGATGGTGCTGATGGCCTTCAACACTCATTGCACCAAAGTGAACAAGAAGTATCATATGGAGACTTGGAGGCATGGCGACATGACAGCATGGAGGCATGGAGGAAGCGACTCACCCAAGGCAGCAGCAATGATGCTCCTGTCGCCTCTGAGCACGTCCTGTGCGATGGCAGGCAGGGCATCCTCGTCCACCCTCTCCGCGTCTATGAACCCCACCGCTGCTACCACGTCCTGCCACATGGACCCACACACCCATGCACGGAGGGAGAGGAGCCAAATTACTCTTTATATGTTTTTTTTTTTTTATCAAGGTTACATGCAGAGCAAGGGCGACATGAAGAACCAAACGTTGAAGCAAAAAAAAAAAAAAAAAAAAAAAAAAAAAATGTTTTGTTTGTTTGTTTGTTTGTTTTGTTTTGTTCGGAAGTTGACGGGTAGAATGAGGCTCGTTGCGCACCTCCTTGGGCTGCAGCGGCATCATGTTATGGTAGTCCAGGGAGAGCTTCCAGGAAATGAGGTCCTGCCGAGTCAACGCACTGCCAACACAGTGGGTGCGGTGGAGGTGAGAAGCGATGTCACGGCAGGTGAAAAAGAATCGTGACAACACAGTGCACGCATGGTGGAATAACGGCATGTGACTAAATGCATAGCAAACGCATGCCATGGTGGTATCGTGGAAAAGAAAATAAATTACATGCTGGTGTGACAACATGGTACGGTGCATGAAGAGATGGTGGTAGGCACGGAGTGAAACTAAGAATTCAGCATGGTGGGATGTGTGTAACATTCAACGAAATCCCTAGATACGCCCGCAGCACGTCAGTGGTGGTAGGTACCAGTCAGGGCGGAAGGCAGCACTGGCCCCAGCACTGCACCCCCTGCGGCGTGCAGCAGCAGCGGCACGCGGGCAGCCAAGGTCCGCATGGGAGAGCTTGCTGGCGATCAGCCCTGCCTCCGCTAGCCCTGATCACGCAGGGGGGAGGGCAGAAAGGGAGTGAGAGAGAGGTTGTGGAGAGTTCTCAGGGAGGATGGCACGGGTGTTGCCAGGGCATTGAGTTGCGACTCAGGAGGAAGCATGCACGTGGGCTGATGCTGCAAGCGAGCAGCACAGTGGGAGCCACATCCCACATGCGACACAGACTGCAGCATCTCACAGGGGAGGCATCTCACTTCACAGAGCAAGCACTGCTGTGAGCACTGCCGTAAGCAGCACACAGTGCTGTCAGCGCATGGCATGGGGCATACCCTGAATGTAAGGGAAGTCGGGGTCATCGGCGGGGACGTCATCGAAGGCGAGTGCGGTGGAACCGTCCACGTACATGGCGGGGTAGATGCGATCCGATGCCGCCCTGCATGCACCACCACGGGAGGGACACACGGTGATGCCATGGGAAAGCAACAGCGGCAGCAGCGGTGTGACGAGCGGTGGAATGGGATGGAATGGAATGGATTTCTCGTCCAAGAATGTGAGAATGGTGTGTGCATGTGCCCCTGTGCGAGTGCGTGCAGGGCCTGCTTCGTCAACTGGCATCTCGTCATCTCTCCACTCCCTTCATTTACTGTGCTTTCCATAGCCTGTGCGTGTGGGAGAGCAGTGGTGCCTCACCGCGACAGTGTGTTGGAGGCGTGCACCAGCCAGCGCGCAAACTCCCTGCGCGAGCAGATGCCCGCCGCGTCCACGCCCTCCTCTATCACCTGCCGCCCACCCACAGCAGCATCAACAGCACGCACACGCACGGAGCAGCAGGGGCACACACGCACGAGGGAGCAGGACGTGAAGCACGGCGTACATGAGCACAAGGTGCAAGAGAATGTCCGCAGAGAGAGGCAGATATGAATCAACCACCCCTTCCCGTGTCTCTCCATTCCCGCCCTTCCCTGCTCCCTGCCACCAACCCAACCCTTTCACCCCCCCACCATCGCTGCCGACTTCCATTCCCTCCAATCCCTTTACCCCCAACCCCTCCCCCCTCCCCCGTCCCCCCTCCCTCCTCCCCCCTCCCCCCTCACCTCCAGCGCCTGCAGCGCCTCCAGCGCCGTGTGCTGCGAGCTGTCCACGGCTGCGCGCACCACCACCTGCCCCGCCCTCGCCTCGCCCGCCCCGCCTGCTGCAGGGGGCGCGGCGCTGAGTGGCGCAGGCACAAACACCGCCATGCCCCATGACATGGGGCTGGCGCCGCCTGCACTGCTGCTCGCACTGTCAGCTGCTGCTGCCGCGGGAGGAGGAGAAGGCACAGCAGCAGGAGCGGGAGCAGCTGCAGGGTCGGAATCAGCAACGCTTGCAGCAGCCGGCACTCCACTCAACGTCACTTCCTCTGCTGTCACCACTCCCTCGCCCTTCCTACCTTCCCCATCTGCTTTCTCTCGAGACGCTCCCTCCGCTTCACCTCCCCCCTCACCCCGTCCCTCCAAGGCCTTCTCCGCCGCCTCCCCCCCCTCCGCGCCCTCCCCTGCCTGCTCCGCCTGCATGGCCTCCAGCCACGGGCGCAGCTCCGACACTGACTCCGCCATCTCCGCCGCGAACGGCCCCACCACATCCTCCCCCTCCTCCTCCGCCCCGCCGCCCACTCCCAGCGCGCTCAGGGCTGCGCCCGCCTCCCCCTGGTTCCCTGACAGCAGCTGCTCCAGCCCCTGCGCCTTGCTCCCCGCCTGCTCTGCTGCCTCCCCACGCGGGGCCTGCTTCTCCTCGCCCTGCTGCCTGCCCGCTCCCTCACTGGAAGCAGCAGCAGCAGCAGCGGCGCCAGTGGTGGTGCTGGGGTGCTGCAGGGTGATGGGGAAGGGGAGGGGCGGGGGCGTGTCGGCGGCGACAGTGGCAGCAGCCACGATCTGAGACGGCAGCAGCAGGTCGTTCAGAGACGGGTCAACGCCCCTGCTCGCTGCCGCATCCGCCATCCCTCCCGCCCCTGCTGCCCCATCCGAGGTTTCTGCCCGTTTCGCTTCTGACTCTCCCTCTCCTCCCGCCTGCCTCTCCGCGTCCTTCTTCCCCGCCCCCTCGCTGCCTGACCCCTCAGAACCGCTCAGGGCTGAGGCGGGGGCAGCAGCAGCAGCAGACGCATCGGTGCTTGGTGCATGAGCGGACGGGCTGGGTTGAGCGGAGGAGGGCAGCAGCGTGCCGACGACCGCCGCTTCAGGCGGCTTGGGAGCACTGGTACGGCCTGCAGCGGACACTGGGGGGGGAGCGGGAAGACGACGGTGTGGGTTTAGGATTCACTGGCCTGCTGCTGGCGCCGACGATGGCGATACTTGCGAAGATGTACACGCTAACACTCTTACTGAATCACTCACTTGCTCACACCAAAGTAGAGGCAGAGGGAGAGGGACGGGCAGAGGGAGAGGGAGGGGGAGAGGGAAAAGCAGACGCCGAGACAGAGTGGCAACGGTGCGAATCGGGTGACGGATGATGGTGCACAGGGCAGGCGAGAGCAGCAACGCACCTCGTCTGTGCAAGCCGGCGAAGGCAAGCGCGCCGAGCCCCAGCAGCAGAACGAAGCCCGCCGCGAACTCGGGAAGGCCTGTGGGGCACAGCAGATGGGGATGGGATGGGGGATCCGCGCAAGCGAGAACGGCGTCAAGTGAATGAGGAACGGCAGATGGGAGATGCAGAGCAGAGCAATGGGATGGCGCGAAGCAGGTATAGCGGCAGCATGGCACGACCGTCCAACACTGCTTGCATATGCACTTATAGTGTCAATGCGCCGGGCAGCACCGTTGCCGCTTCCAGATGACTCGTATCGCGGCACGTGTCTTCGTATCTTGGGTCGTCGCGCCGGGCAGGTCCGACGCGCCGAGGTCCCACGACAGATTGCGACAGGGCGCTGCGCGAGACGGGGTACGTTGCTTCTATGGATGTACGTGCGGAATCTACTTGGGATCCTCGTCGCAGATCACCACATACCTGGTGGGTTACCCGCCGACGATCGTGATTGGTCTAGATCCGACGGATCGCTCCATCCCCCGGAAATGTCCTTCTTCTGCCCATCGCCCCACGATGCCGCAGCATCAGCGCCGCCGCCCCCGCCACCCGCTCCGGGCCTGCTCGCCCCGTTGAGCGCGCCTGGCGGAAACTCCGCCCCCGAGGGTCGTTCTGCGCCCTTCCGCGGCTGCTGGCCCTCCCCGCCCGTGGAGTCGCTGAGCGGCGCGTCGCTGCCCGCCTTGGATGCGCGGAGAGCGGGGGGACGAGACGGGGGCAGCGGAGCGAAAAGCGGACTCGAGAAGGAGCGGTGGGGAAGGAACGGTGTGCGACGGTGCGACGATGTGCGACCAGCTGAGGATGGGCGAGGATGGACGGAGTGGATGCGACGAGGAAGTAGGGTGGACGAGGGGGAATGGAGGATAGGGGCTGGAGTGGCGGAGAAACAAGTAAGAGGCGTTTGTCCTGCCGTCAGCGAGGACGATCCCACGCACTGTCCCGCCATGGCTGCGCGACTTGAGACGGAAACCGACGGGAAAGAACCGTCTTCAAGGTGTGCGCGAGATTCAAGAACGAAAATGGGGCGCAGAATCTTCTTGCTTTGGGTTTATTGCAGGTGAAACACGATGGAGACAGAAAGCGAGCAAAACTCGGAAGGTGGATGAACGGTTCACACGAAAGGAATCAAGACGCACTTGATCAAATTCACCTCTCGGGCTTACAGGTTGTATCGAGTCGAGAAGCTCACTTCGCTTCTAAGGCGAACAAGTACTCCTTCACACGACACGTCAGACGGATGTTCACGGGATCTTCCCATGAGATGGGAGGAGTTCGCCATAGGATTCGCTGAGCCACGCCGGAACAGTGAACTTTGGTCAGTGGCTAGTTTGTTCTCCTTACAAACACCTGTAGATTCTGTCATGTCATTCTCTTTCTGGTTTACCAACTTCATAAGCAAACATGTAGTGGAGACAGAATTCTCGTGTTTTTTAGTCCTGTTGGTCAATGGAACCATGTTTTGTCATGACTATTTGATGAACCACTATAAACAGGTGCATTTGTACATAAAGCTCATCAGATACAGCGGTTTACAGCATGTGCCGACGCCCAGGTCCTTGTCTGAGGCTGGGTGGGAGGTCACTAGAAGTTAAACTTATTACGATACTGGTTGGTGCTCAGCTCAGAGTTCCCTGCGCTCCAGTACAATAGGAGGGATACCCCTGCGTATTTTCACTCCTCCACATTCTGGGCACTGCAATGGTCAGTAGGGGGTGCAGGGTGATGCAAGGAAGTCATTCGACAAAGTGGCAGGTAAAACGTTATGTCGTGAAAGTTGTTTGGGTGGGAAGGCCCAGGGTGGAATAAGGGGCGGGAAAGAAATGAGGAAGGGAGGGAACGAGGAATGAAGGTCAGGACAGGAGGGAGGAGAGGACAGTCAGGAAAGAGAGGGCCGTGCAGAGATGACTCACGAGACTCGTGTTCAAAGTTGACTCATGGAACACCCTAAACCATAGCAGAACTTTTGCCCACGCATACCTTGGAACACCCTTCGCCTACACAGGCCGGACACGGATCATTGCGGTCGAACTTGCCCTCCCAGCGGATCAAGCCTGTGCCCTTGCATAACGTGCAGCAGTGCAGCCCATACCCGCCACACAACTCGCACTGCTCACCACCACACACACCAGCGAGATAGCACACAGGGACAACAACCAGGAGACAAACAGAGAGGCATGATGAGACAAACCTTGGTCACACCAAACGAGAGAGGTGGGTCTAGCATCAGAACTGCGCATGCGTCCTTGCAGGCATGGGCATGGCCTCACCTCGTTGCCGTGCTCCTCGTGCTCGTGCTCATGGTGGTGCTGGTGCTCCCTCATCACTAGTGTAGCTATGCCAGCCACAGCCAGCACAACTGCCACCACCACTCCTCCCTTGCCTGCAGTCACACACACCAAGCACAAAAGCAATGCGATAAAGGGAGTCAGTATGGCTGCTACTTTCAACAATCCCGCACCCGCTGTCATCGCCCATTGTTTTCTTCCCTGTCTTTTCCCTCCCCCAGCTCCACCTCTATCCCCGCCTCCTCTGCCCCCCTCTCCTCCTCACCTCGCAGCGCCCCTGTCATGCGAGCCCCTGGCCGTCCCGCTGTGGCGGCCGCAGCGCTCACAGTCGCCACAGTCCGCGACGACCGTCGCAGCAGAGCCTGCGACAGCGACGCTGTCGCCACCTGCGCCGCGGCTCGAGTACTTTCGTGCCCCACGTTGGTCTCCTCCACGCCCGTGGCCGTCCCCGCGGCGGGCCGGGCGGCGATGACGCCGGCGAGCTCATGATGCTCGTGAGACGAGGCGGGAAGAGCGGAGCTGCAAGGCGGGATTGGGAGAGCGGGAGACGAAACGGTAAGTCCGATCCATTCGCAAGCCTCGCGTGCCGCTTTCGCGCCACAAGATTTTACTCCTGCCTCTCACCTGCTCGTGACACCAACTTCCGCCGCCTCGCCACCCGCTTCGCGCGCAGTAGCAGAGCAGGAGAAACTCCAGCGGCGCGGGACACCATGACTCGCACCGAGCGACGGACTATGGCCGTTGGAGTGGCCAAGAGACGGTGAGCGGCGGAGGAAGGGGGACGCGCAGACACAGGAGAGTGCGTGCGGGCGTGCAGGCATGGTGGTCGCCACGGCGAGCGACGTGCACGTGCCTGCAGTGCTGCTGATATTGGGTGGTCGAGACGCAAAGGAACGGGCACAGAGAAACCGATTGGTGAGAAGTGAGGTGTGGGGGAGGAGAAGAAGCGTAGACATGCGTGGCGTGACTTCTCATACCCTCGCTGTTTCCCGCTTTGGAAAACCAGGGTAAAGACAAACTGAAGACGACGAGTTATCAAATCGGGAAGTGTAAGGAGCTCAGCGACTCTGAGAAAGGAAGGCTCAAAAGGAAAGGACGCGATGGTGAGAATTGGAGCGCCATGGCCACTGCAGTGTGGTCCTCACCTGTCAATGCGAAGAGCCGCCGTGGAATGGCCACGCGTCAGCGCTGTGGAGTGGCACGCAGATGGTACTAGCGATGCCATTAGGCAAGGGCGGTCAGAGCGCGCAGGCGCAGACGAACGGGAGAGGCTGCTGGACTTAAGAAGAAAAGGCATGGTTGACAAGAAAAGGCATGGTTGACTCCTTGTTTCGCCAAAGGTCTACCTCAAGGCGAAATGAAGGTGGATGGCCAGATGAAAGGCAAATCAAAAGCTAGTGAAGGGTCCAGGACCAGGCAGTTGAAGGGTGAAGGCTCACAAATATTTAGGTCCCTTTTCTTCCTCCCTCAGAAGTGAACAGACTTGGTACGTATGGAGCATCTGAAGATACTGTAGTGTCATGTCTTCAGGACAGCAGCTGTGTGTGGGTGGAGTAAGTCGGTGCAGGCGGACGACTAGGTGGTCCCGTTCATTCAGTTTCAAATGTTTTTTATCCTCCCCTTATCTGGAAACGATATTGGGCTCAGAATGGATAAAGTGAATATTCTAACATCAGAAAACTTTGGGATAAACCTCCTTCATTATCCATTTTGCTTCGCTATAACTGCCCGTGGTTTGATTTTCACGTGCATTTTCAAGAAGGGTGTGCAAAAGCCTGTCATTTTAGACACAAGCCCTAAACTCTCGGGAAATATCTACAAGTTTGCTGTCGCCCTAACCCGATTCGTCAATTCCTCGAACCCATGGCGCTATGAACCTGCACCCGTACCTGCCGCCAAAGTTCTGAATTTCCATGGATTGTCTGAGCACCACAGGACACGACATGAGGGGTTGAAGCAAGTCTGACGTGCGTCGAATGGCTGGCAAAGCTCGAAGGCCGTGGCGCCAATAAGAACTGAACGGCGTTACACTCTCGGTGTCTGCTACTTTACGTCGTCCGTTCCTTTGCAATTGACGTGGATGCTGTACCACTGAATGGTCGAGACTGCGGAACCTATCAGCTCGATGTTTCGCTATCAGCTGAGTCGTGTTTCATGTTACTTGAGATTCATGTTTTTTTGTTCCAGCGGTTGCAAGTATCAATGCATCGTGGAAAGAGATAAGGGTTTATGCTCTTTGCAAAGCAGATCTTCCTCGGTCCATCCACTATCGAGGACAATCTTCCCAGCCTTTCAGGCTGGGCTTTCAGGCTTGCGAATCTCGAGGCTCCCGCAACCTCTCTCGTAATGCCACATCACCATTTGGCTACCCCAAGTGCCCTTTGGGGAAGCGGGGATTTGCGTGGAATGGATGGTGGGGCCAAGCTGTGCGCAATGCGAGCGAGTGGAGCTAGTATTCGCGGTCGGCGGTGATTAGTTACTCCCACGCTCACAGCAACGCCAGAAGCAACACGTACTGGTCGCCGCTAACCACGTCTGCAGCTTCCTTGCACGAGCTGAAACCATGGATGCCTGCGTCGCTGCCTCGTTCTCCGCTCCCAAGTGCGCTGTCACCGCGGCACGCAGCTCCTTTTCAAAATCCACCTCTCCGCTCGTCCAATGCAGCGCTTTCCGCGGCACGCCACTTCGCACGCCGTCGCTGGCAGCTGGTCGTAGGCTAGTAGCCCCGGTAAAGCAGAGGCAGACAGTAAGAAACGGGCTGTTCGATTTCGTTGAAAAAATCAACTTCCCAACAGATTTGTTTACGGCGTTCACGGGCCCGAAGGTGAGCGATGAGGAGCGCGCGGCGCTGAAGGAGGAGCTGCTGGAGGCTATCGCGCCGGTCGAACGAGGACTCACCGCCTCGGACGACGACCAGGAGATCATCGAGGAGGTACCGCGTGTCGGCTGTAGGCGCGTAGATGGTCTTTCTTCCACGTCTAGATGTGCCTTTCTCGTTTCGTCGCCAAAGTTTCATGCGCCCTCGCCCTCTGTACCCGTCGCATTCGCAGCTCTCATTCGCGCATTTGCCTCTCCCCGCCTCCTGCCCGGTAACCTCCATATGACCCCTTTCCGTCTGTTGCCCTTCTGTCGCTCCGCGCCGTCTCGCCCCGCCCCCCCACGCCGTGTGGCAGCTGGCGGCGCAACTGGAGGCGGTGAATCCGACGAAGCAGCCGCTGCGGTCGGCGCTGCTCAACGGCAAGTGGAAGCTGCTCTACACCACGTCCGACACCATCCTCGGCCGCAATGTCAGTCGCCGCGCGCAATGCCGCCTCTAGAAGCTCGAACAGAAGGAACTCCGAGTAGCGCAGGGCAGTCATGAATTTGTGCCATGCCATCCTTCAGCCCGCTCCATGCGCTCCCGCTCATCCACCACCCGTCGCTTAGTCTATCCCGTTTCCCCCGTCCCTTGTCGAGCTTATGAGCCGGATTCTTATTTGTCTTTTCCTTACTCGCCCCGCCCATTGCCCCCACGCCATGTCTCCGCGCCTGCCGCTATCCCCATAACTGCTACCGCGCAGAGGCCATTCTTCCTGCGCCCCTCGGGCCCCATTTTCCAAGCCATCGACGGGGAAACACTGCAGGCGCGCAACCTCGAGACGTGGCCCTTCTTCAACCAGGTACCCGCACCGCTGCTGCTGCTCCAGCTGCTGCTGCCGTTGCTGTCGCCGCTTCCGCCGCTGCTGGTGCTGCTGCTGACGCTGGTCGAACGCACGTGAAAGAACGAACCGAGCATTGACTTCTCTAGCAATCCGGACATCACCCCACACGCTCTCTCATTGCACTCTGCGCCTCTCGTGCTTCTTCAATGCGCGGTGTCGTGCCCCTGTGCGTGGCAGGTGCAAGCCACGCTCACGCCCACGTCCGCCTCCGCTGTGGACGTCAAGTTCGACGTCTTCAAAATCCTCTCCCTGGTACGCTGCTCGCCGCTCTGCTTCTCGCTGCCTGCGTGCGTGCACCTGTTCACCCCCTGCCACTGTCCCCTGTGATCACTTGCACTGGCATGCCTGCTTGCGACGTCCCGTCCTGCTCCATTGCCGCGCATCACGCTCAAGAAGTTGCACTGCTCCTAATCCCTGCCTCCTTGCTGGTTGGCAGGTGCCCATCAAGGCACCAGACACAGCCAGGGGGTCCCTTGAAATCACCTACCTAGACGACGACCTCAGGTCAGCATGCTCTGTGCCCCCGGCCTTGTTCTGATGCGCCACCTTCTTGTTCTGAAATCAAGTGTCTCTCTGTTACTCTCCTGGCGCTCCCTGTGCACTGGAGGGGGCTTTTGAAAACTTCCTAGCTCAACCCTGGCTCTTCTTTCCACCTCATTTCACCTCGTTCCCGCCCCCAACTGTGGTACGGTATGCTGTGTGCAGGATCTCACGGGGCAACAAGGGCAACCTCTTCGTACTTACCATGGAGGATGCCTCGTACCGCATTCCCCTGGGAGAGGAAGAGATCGAGGAGGAAGAGGAGTGAATTGCCGATTAAGGGCGACTGCATCCGGTACTCGATCTTCAGGACTCCAATTGTTTGGTACACATTGCGAGCGCATTGTGGTCGATGCAGTAAATCTACCTAAACCTGCTGCAGTTTTCAGTAAAAATATATCCTGAAATGGCCAGCCAGCCTTGGGGCGGTAGGGTTAAAGTAATGGTTTTGAGTGCATGCATGTCAAAGGTCCAGATTCAATATCATTTGATATCAAGCAGTTACCATGGTCCCATGCATTTTACTCCAACTGTGATTGGTACTAGCATTAGCAAAGCAGCATCTTGGAGGGTACACTCTGAAGCGTAGCTTCTGTACTGGCTCTAGCCTGCCTTTTACTGGTACTTCCTGTGCACGGTAGGTACAGTACAGATTTCTGGACTGACTGATATCATCAATAGTCTTCACTGTTTTCAAATCTCCATTAGCAGTTGATGAATTAGCCTTGCTGGAACTCTTAGAGCATATATTCTCGAAAACAATACAAAATGGCATGAAACAGTGTGGCCCAAAAGGTATATCTCATACCCAGCTCTTTGGAGCTAGTACCAAGTGGTAAGTTTAAGAGGTAGTGTCCGGGGTGGCGGCAGGCACAATCTTGGGGGTCTGATACTTGGCCTCGGTGGCATACCAGTCGTCAAGGCTGACCAGCGCATTGAACTCAGTGAAGGTAGCCAGACGCTCCAGCGCCCCGCGCGTGGTGCCCTCCTGCTTCAGCTCCTTGTGGATGTCAATCAGCGCACGCGTGGCTGCATACAGCCCCGTCAGGGGGTTCACTATCAGGTGAAACCCAAGGTCCTGAAAAGAAGCGAGGGAGCGGAGGGGAGATGGGTAAGCAGCCAAATCGGAAATGTCTAGCAGGAGGAGAAGAGATGTATGGAATGTGTTGACGCTGGAAATGAGTTGGTGTGTAGTGGTTCGGCAGGTGAGTGTCAAGGGTTGGTGCTCACAGAAAGCTCCTGAGGAGTGAGGAGGGGAGTGACACCCCCTTCCAGCATGTTGCACACTCGGATACCCCGCGTGTTGCGCCCAATCTCCCGCAACTCCTCCACATCGCGAGGCGCCTCCACAAAGCACCCATCGGCTCCAGCCTGGATAGCCACGCCAAAGACATAATCACGATACACTCAGCATAACAGAACATCACACGAGTGGGCTATTGGGTAATGGCGAAGATCAGAAGCGGGAACTGGAAACGTACATCCATGTAGAGGTTGGCACGTGCAATGGCATCAGCGAGCCCTCTCTTCTGTGACGTGGCGCGAGCATCTGTGCGTGCCACAAGGAAGAAATCCGCATCGCCAATGGCGTCCCTCGCTGCTGCTATCTTCACTGCAGCCTCCTCCGCTGGAATCACCTGACGAACGGAACGAGAGAGGATTTTATTTGCCAGATGCTGTACGCATTGGGCTTATGCTGGAACATTCTTTGTGCTGAGTGCAGTACATCTGCCTCAAGCTCTACTTTCAAATTTGAATAGAAGGAGATCATGCTGTATGCTGGTCACAGCACGTAGCTGTCACTTGCACGCACCTGCTTGCCCCTCATGTGCCCTGATGTCGCCACCGTGCGATGAACACCACGTCAGGGAGGAAAAGGAAGAGAGAGCAGTGTGACGATGGGATGCGGGCGAGGGAATGGGGAAAAGAGGATTCTGTCAGTGTACAGGTTAGTGTGATATAAAACAAGCGAAAAGGTGGGTTGATAGTGAAAAACGAGAGATAGTGTAGCAGCAAGGAAAGGACACCCTCTCAGGCACCAAGTGATAGCAGCTTGCTGGGAAGAACAGGGTGGACGCTTACCGCACTTCTTAGGCCAGACTTGATCCTGAAATGACAAGGGTGGGCGCAGACACGGGAGGGGGGAGATGAAGGACGCACGGAGCAATGCTTCGGCTATGCGATTTGTGACGGACGGTGATGCACTTGCGAGCAGCGGAATACATTCGGGGAAACGGTGCGCAAGAAAGGAGTGCTCAGACGAGGCGAGAGCAGGGACACGCAATGCGTGCACGACGGAAGGTGCAAAAAGCGGTCGTGGTGGCGGTGGTGCGTTTTTATCAATCACTCCAGCGGGCTCACCTCGATGAAGCAGCCCGCAGCACCGGCGGCAATGAGGTCCTTCACTGTGCGCTGCACGTTGAGCGCATTCCCGCCCCCAGTGTCTGCCAGGACCGACCCGATTGGCGATATAAAAGGACAGATCGAGCGAGAATGAGAGATGGAACGGGGGGAGAGTGGAGGGTGGAGAGAGAGAAGAGAACGGAGAGGAAAGGGGAAGTTTGGTGGCACTAGGAGATGCTACAGGAGATACGGATTAAGAGCATATGGATCAAATAGTGAAGAGCAGAAAATGGGCACGCACCTGCGTCAACAAAGATGGGAGTGGATGGAGCAGCGGCGCACACGTAACGAGCTGTGGCGCACATTTCAGTGGGACTGTCGAAAAGTTTTAAAGAAAAGCGGAAAGCACGGGAAGGAAGTTAGCCTTTTATTTTTCATGAGAATCTGGAATACATTTTATCCGTTTAAACGGACTCTCATGGGCTCAGAATAGAGAGTGCCATGTTATTGAGTTCGTTTTCAAAACTGGTAAACGTGTAAATCGTTGAAATGACAGGCGGAAAACAGCATGCAAAAAGCACGTACGTCAGCAAACCGATGTCCGGTTTCCCAAGTTTGGCAGCAGCAGTTGCATATCCCGATATGAATCCGGCTTGGAAGCCAGACTGCTCAATGATGAGGGCAGACAGCGCATCGTAGCAGCCGGGGAGGATCAGAAATTTGTTTTCGTTCAAGAGGCGGTGAATTCGGGTGTTGCCGCTGGCCATGGCGGTTATTCTAGAAGCCTTCCATGGTTTGGACACGAGGAAAGATGCGGTGCCATTGGAATGAAGCCTCGTGCTCCCCGAGCCAAGGAAGGAAGATTGAAGCGTGGAAACGGATGCCTGAACCAAGGAGGCGGCCATGGTGGACGTATGGCTTGAAAACAGGAGGTAAAGCGAAGGAGCTATGTTGAGCTTGAAAGTGATGACAGCAGGCACGAACTAATCGGTCTGGACATTTATGGCCATTGTGGTGGTGGATGGGACGGCCATTTTCCAATTTTCCCATTTTCTCAACCAAGGGGATGCAGGCGCTAAGGATGTCCAAGATGCTCGTGTGACCTACGATCATCAGTGGATGAGACCAACTGCAGCTGATGCGACTCCTCGGAAGGGCCGGGTTATGCGTGCGGCTCGTACTGATGACGCAGGGATGACCTGGCAGTTGATATGAAAAGGCTGGAATGCCGATCAAAGTGTGACCTGTAATTTACGTGGACACTGCCAACGAGGAGAACGCGGAAGACAAAATCGAGGTGTGACGTGGAGTCTGACTAGAACAAATGTGATTGGTTGTTCCCTGGTCTGAGATACTTCTGATTTGAGGATGGTATGAAAGTCTTCGTTTTTTTACAATACAGGCCAACCATGCGGATGGTAAAGTGTACCATGGATTGTACTCTTAACCATCCACATTAGATGTAGGGGTTTCAGCAAAATATTATTGGATGCATGCTATTCCAACCCTGCAGAAAACCATGTTGTTAGGCATGCATCTACGGAGAAGAAGCTTTCCTGGCCATTTTTCACGGCTCATACGCATAAATGGCTCAAAATCATTTTGAAGTCATCATCATAAACAGAATCACTCAAAATTTATTGAGTATTTCATAAGTATCATTATAGAAAAAAAACTATTCGAAACTGTTGGAACTAGCCTAACTATTTGTCCTGTCATATTTCAGATTAATAACATATATTTTACTATGTTTAATTATTGAAATTACATACAGTTGTACTTAGGCCTTACATTAATATCATAGGGACTATAAGCATACACGTGTATCTGCCAACGCTGTTTAAATCTCGACTCAAAACTTATCACGTTTATTCGTCCACCAATGTCGTCCACCAATGGATGGCGCAGCACCGTCTTCCCTGCTGGACGCCACTCTGTCACCGCTCAGCCGTCCGTTTTCGAGTTTTAAACAAATTTGACAGGGTACCAGCGCACTGCCTGACTGCCAGAGCCCTCACACAAATCCCTGCACCCAGTCCTCTCTTGTATCGAGCGGCGACTCATTTGAAACACACGAAATCCCGAATAAATGTTACTCGATTTGCCTTGATCAACCCTCCTCCACCCTCTCCCCGAAAGTATCAGGTCCAGGAGTCGACCAATAGGGCGCGCCCATCTCTCTCAACCACAGGTCGGCCGTCCCATAATCTAGGAGCTGAGGGCTTGTAGGGTGTCCGTCCATCAGGATCTCCAATTGAAGCGGCTCATACTGTAACAAAATGTTATTCCCAGGGCCCACCCCTCCTTTCCCCCCAACCCCTCGGGAAACCCCCACCGCCTTTCCACTTGGTCTTCCCCGTCCCCGTGACTGGCGTGCGCGGCCCACTAGGCTGTGCGCTGGGCTGACAAACTACTCCGCCCGCAACACGGAATTTGTTTCGTACACCTGCTCCGCCAGAACCTCTTTTTCTCTGCCTCTTCCGCTTCCGCTAGGCTCCCACCACTACTGTCTCTGGCTGGACACACTGCTCCAAGCATTCTTCATCAATCCACCAGCACGAAATCTTAATCTCCCAGGGAGCTAAGTGAAAGCTATCGCTGATCAGACGTTTGATTTCAACACAGCCTGTATCAGGATCGCTAACTCTCGCTATCAAGGAACGGAGTACGAGCCCCTAGTCATTCTCTCTGACCCGTGGTCTTGAGCCACCGGATTATTCGTCGACATTCCTGTGTCACCCAACTGATCGCTCTGATTGAAGCGCTGTACGGGCTGTGCCATAACCTTTCGGTACCTCAAGCGGGATCTACGTAGGATAGTCTACCGCACGTGATCCTTCTTTCGCAGACTTTCTTGATTGCTGCACCGACGCAGTGGCCATATCGTTCCACTTCAGGTAGTCATTCCAGTAGCGGTCGCTGTAGATCGGATCTCGCCTGATTTTCGACCGATCGCTTCGCTTTTACACCTCAGTCGCGAAGACTCTGGCGTGGACACAATGGACATGCAAATGGCGTCAGTTTCGCTCCAAAACGGCTTTTATCCTCCCAGTGGTGCCTCTCCTTGTGCTGACACGTCATCCATGCTTTCTGTGCCCCTGTCGCCACAGCTAAGCCCACTCCCGCCAGCCGCGGTGCCAGTGAGCACGTCTATGGGAGCTGGCTGCGGGCCTCAAGGGAGTCACACGGCAGGTCACATAGCTGCACCACACGACTTCAGCAATCAACACGGAGAGGCTGTCAATTCGTTGGGACGGATCGGAAGCTTGTCTCGGCCTGGATCAGACACTTGCTTGGTTCAGCCTCATTTAGCAGCCGGCCCCACAGCAGACACGGGAGTGCCGGCTTCATTGAGCTGTGCTTCGGAGTCCAGTAACGCGTATGCGGCTGGCGCAGCGCCAATCTCAGGCGTTGGATCCTCGATTCTAGCCGGCACGTTGCCGTCAACCATGCCCGCCACCACCACGTCATCAGCGTCCGCACTAGGCAATAACGACGCAGGAGGCGCCGCAACCACCGCGGCTGCGTCCAACGGCAGCACTGGCGCTGCTGCTGCCTCCGCCGCCGCTGCTGCGGCCGCTGCGGGAGCGACGCCGTCGATATCTCCGTGCGGCGCATGCAAGTTCTTGCGGCGCAAGTGCACGACCAGCTGCGTGTTCGCGGCGTACTTCTCGCCCGATCAGAGCCTGCGATTCGCCAACGTGCACCGCATCTTCGGCGCCAGCAACGTGGGCAAGTTGCTCCAGGACCTGCCGCCGCCCAGCCGAGAGGACGCCGTGAACAGCCTGTCGTACGAGGCAGAGGCCCGAATCAGCGATCCCGTCTACGGCTGCGTCGGAGCGCTGTTTGCGCTGCAACAACAGGTACGCGACGCAAGCGTGAAACATCCGATTATTCTTCGTTAGGCGGCCCCTGATCTTTACTCCTGCTTCCCAACATACACATATCAACCTGATCGCATATCTTTCTCTTCCTGGTGTCTTCGAGTCATCGAATTCTTCTCTCTGGTGATGCTTTATAACAATGGGTACACAACCACCCGACTGAGCGGGTTTAGACATGTGTTGGATCGTAATTCTCACCTGACACGTCAGTTATCTGTTGGTGGGATGTGTGTGCAGGTGGTGCGGCTGCAAACGGAGCTAGCCATGGCGCAGACGGAGATCTCGCGTCTGCGTACCATCACAGGCTCTCCCTCCGGCCTCGCCCACGCTCCTCATGGCCACCCTCACGCGCACCCCCACGCGCCCGGGTCCGCTGCTGACATGATGACGGCTTCCTTCCTCCCTGTCAGCGCCGCTGCTGCTGCCTCCGCTGCCGCTGCTGCATCGGGCCATGCAGGGATGATGGGCGGAGCTTTCAGTGGGAACGGGGCGATGCTAAGTCAGGCGTATGCGAGCAACGGGCTGATCAAACCCGAGCTTGACTCATGTAAGCCCCATCCATGCTTGTCCGCTGATCCTTGGCTACCTTATCTCATACACAGGTAGTCAATCGGGCACCTGAGGAGCCGATTTCACATTACCCCTATGTCCCATGCTTCTACTATCTTGCCTTGTTTGCTTTAGTTGCAGGTGCCAGCATGGCAGCAGCTGCGGCTGCCGCAGGGCTGGGAGGAGCAACCAGTGCAGCAGCAGCCAACGGCTTGGTCCCTGCAGCTGCTGCAGCGGCTGCTGGTGCGGGTATGGGTCCAGTGTCCATGGCAATCCCTGGGCTACGCCGGCCTGATGGCCCGTCGCCTGCGTCATTGAGCATGCTGATGCAGCCGCCAGGGCTCATGAACCCCTCCCGCCTCTATGCCCTGCCGCCTCACCTAGGCACAGCGGGCCCGTCGGCAGGTGTGCCACCACACATGCAGTTCCGGCCACTGGATGGCATGGCGCCCATGGAGTTGCGCGGCAGCACTCATGACTTGGCAGCGGCCCACATGAGCATGTTGGGAGGTGTCTTCATGCCATCGGGCCCAGGCGCCATGTCTCTGCCCAATGGGGCTATGAATGGCATGGGTGGGGCCAGTCATATGCCTCGCAGCATGGACTTTGGGCATGGTGGGTCTGTGGGGATGGGAGAGCCTGACATGGTGGATGGCAATGGGGGGTGTATAGAGCACTATAATGACATGGCTGCTGCTGTTGGAGCTGCACACACTGCAGTGGCCATGTCACGGTGAAGTGCCAGGCATCTAATACGAGAGCACAAGCAGTAGCAGTTACCGGCACAGGATCGTGCTGCTTCGGCGTTGAGTTTCTTCCGCCATTGTGCTTGACTGCCTTGTGGGCCTTGGCCAATTGATGCTGAGGCTCTCTTGACGTGCTGGTGTTGCAGCAGTGAACAACACATCAGTATCTGCACCACATGCAGTACCCAAAGTTAAGTACTCTGTTGGGTTGGCTGCTGCTTGCTATTTCAGACTTGATTAGCAAAGTCACTGAATGATATTTACGTAGCTACATGCGCAAGCATTATACTGTAGTGGAATTGGCTGTGCAATGAGATTGTTCGTCGCGCTAAGAAATGGCAGCTCCACCTATATTAGGTTATACTACGGTAATCCAAAGAAATGGAAGTTCCACCTTTTTTTGCTGATGGCAGTATACTAATCCTCACAGGCGTTCCCATCAGCCAAAAAAAGGAGAAAACAAATATATAAGGACAACATTTTCACTAGCACTTCGTGATACATCAAAGAGCTGCTGTACATATTACTGGACAGTTCTAACTACTAGCAGAAAATGGTGGTTTGGAATATACGGGTCTATCCGACATCAACCCTTCGGAAATGCCACCCACATCATAAACACAGCAGAAGCACTATGGCTACATACACATGAACAAGGCACATGCCAAGCACCAGGACATCAGGAACCACATGTTTCTTCAGACAACCAGGTTTGCATTTGCACCAGCAGCACCACCGTCATCTGTACAGTTGGACAGGGGTGGTGGGGGTTGCATGTGGCATATTCAATCGAGCCCCACAGGACCAAAAGGAAAGTGGATCAGCAAGGCCAAGGGAATCTCACAGCACAGAGAATTCAGATACTAACCGAATTTGGTGAAAGGCGTTGGGTTCTTCTTGCGCTGGATGACAAAATAGACGCCCCCTGCAATCAGCACCACGCCCAGCAGCACACCCATCACGATGGCAGCAATGCTTCCAGCTGACAGGCCTGCCACAGGGGTGAAAGCGGGGTAGCATTGGAGAAACCAGCAGGCGGATTCAGGTGGGCGCAGGTGCAAGCCACGTTGCAGGCTGCGGATGCACAGAGCACAAGGGGCAGTGCAAAAACAGCGGACATGCGACCTCATTGCCTGGCGAACATGGTCAACAGCACGAGGGCATGTGGGGGACGCTGTCAGTCTTCTCTGCACTCAGTGCTTACCACTGCTGGTCGCAGGAGGCGGGGGAGGAGGGGGCAACACATGCGCCTCCTCCGCTGTTAGCGTCATGGGGCGAGCTCTGCGGGCGCCAGCAGCAGCGCCAGCATCAGCGCCAGCAGCAGCGTCAGCAGGGGGGGGCAGGGCAATGGGGATGGCTTCATACACCTCCATGCCGCTGATGACGGCGGGCAGGCTCTTGTTGGTGGCGCGCAGGTCCACAGCCACGCTCTGGAAGTACGAGAAGGGGTTCTCCATCGCCACCACGTGCGTCACCGCCATCGCCGTCAGCGGCTGTGTGAAGTTGACCATGTCGAGCGTGTCCGGCGGGGAGCCAATGGCGATCGTCTGACCGTCGCCCCACGACAGCTGCAGTTCCATCATGCGCTGGCCGCGCTTGACGGCGGGGTTGGGATCCATGAAGTTGAGGATGACGAGGAAGAGGTTGGTGGGGTCCATGGGCACCACGAGCCCCGAGTACTGCATCTCCGTGCCGGCCGCATTGTCCACGTTGATGGACTCGCGGTACGTGCGCAGCATGCTCTGCGGCCAGTAGTTGTCCGGGTCGTCCGTGTTGTTCACCGTCGCGTTCGTCGCGCGGAAGCTCCGCGGCAGGAACGAGCGGTCGTCGGCGTCCCACACGCGCCCCACCATGTCCGGCCCGACGGTCGGCCCTCCAATGTTGACTCGCATGGCGTTCGCGAGAATCACGCCTTCTTTTTTGGGCAAGCCCTGGTACACGGTGCTGGGGGTGGGGTAGACCTCGAGCGTGTTGAGCAGCGGAGTGCGCGACTGGGTGTCTGGGGGGAAGGAGAGGATGGCATCCAAGGGGTTCACGAAAGCAGGCTGGACGGACGACGAGAAGGGCACGAGGCACACGTCGAGGAATCCCGTATCTGTGAACACCATGAAGTCGCGGTAGTACGCCGTCGCCGTCTTCGCCGTCTCATTATTCTGCATCCCTTCTGCCGTCATCAAATTAATCGTCAGAACAGGCACGCCCTGAGCCGTCACGTTGAACACGGGCGGGTTCGCCTCCTTGTCGAAGTTTAAGTACGCGAAGCCGAGCCGCACTAAGTAGGTGCCATTGGCACGCGGGATTTTGTAGCAACCGCCGGTGGTGTTGGAGAAGGCGCGGCCCGTGAGCTCAGCAGGGGAGAGCGTCGCCGTTAGATTGGCGGCGTTGGTGGAGCCCGGCGCGATGGTGAAGGGCGTCCCGTCCGACGTGTATTGGTCCGCCATGAATCCCGCTGCCGCTGCCACGCCGCTCTCGACCACGCTGCCGCAGTCAATCCGTAGCGTTCCTGCATTTGAGATTGAACGTCATGGGAGGTGGTCGCACACAGAGCGAGAAAGGACGGGATTTGTTCAACGACTTGCCAATTGCGAACACAGTTTTGTTTTGAATCTTCGCTTTGTGTATGTCAAGGCTCTTGTCATCGTACTTGTGCGCAAACTGCAACGTTCATATTCTAGCATACTTGGCACACGAGTCGATTGTTACGACCGCAACACTACGCTGCGCTCTTGGAACGGATGCGGATACACGGGAGAAAAGAAATGCTCGTACCATCGTCGGCTCCAGCGGCAAGCAAGAGAGAGGTGCCGATGAGGAGGAGACCGAGGGAAGTCGCAGGACCTAGTGACGACCACGCTCGCTTGGGGAGAGCCATGGTGGTAGTAACTGGCGTGTTGAAGAAAGGGAGGAATTGTGAGGCAAGAGGGCACGGAAAGGGCAATTTAGTGTGAAGTGGAAGGGACGACAGTGAGCATGGTGTGAAGTGAAGCAACACAGGGTCGAGTACGGGTTGGAGCGGTGATGAGGGTCAAGCAACTCTGGGAACCACAAAAAAGTGACGTGACGTCACGGCGGAGTCGGAGGTGTGACTGTGAGCGACTGACGACGAGAGACGAGACGACTGTCGCTCCGCGCGATACACGTGATGCGACAGTTTGGGGGAGGTATGCGCGGTGTACTTCACACACGTGGTCGGCAATAAGGCAGAACCACGGGGGAGAGAAGGGGTTTCGGTTCGGTTGAGTGGTGGGGAACTTGCTGATGTGACACCACGATTGACGACGAGGCTTGTAGCTCGGTGCTTGGACTTGTGTGACTACATGGACATGTGACAGTGACCGTCTTCTAGTCGTGTCCTGATTCGTGAATTAGGAAGCTAGTGGTTCCAAAGGAATAGAATCACAGCGATAAATGACTCTGTAAAGAGCGTTCCGTCGATAACATTAATATCAGCGAAGTGTAATGAAATCTGGATTCGAGCTACACTCACACGTGGATTGTCTCAACAATAAAACTGGCTAATGCTAGAATCTAGATGCCCCAAACGTTGGAGCTCATGTGAAGTTCTCCATATGAATTTCCAAAACAAGACCCATAATTTTCTATTCACAACTACAACGAGAACAAATTACATAATACTCCAACAACCCGCAACAATCCAGTACATGCCTCATCCGCAACAGTTTGTTACAAAAGAAGTTGAGTATATACATTACTACAAGCTCCAATCTCATTACTGAGGCAGAATTCTGTAGGCACCCTCACACTTTGACTGACGCATTGGTTCAGCCAATATCATTATTCCAAAGTGTTTCACAGCTAGGCAGATCGTTTCATTGGCCTGTTTGTGCCATATACTCTCTAACGCCTTGAATCTGCTCCCGCATACCATTGATATTGTTGCGATCAGAAGTTGATCGACCTCAGGATCACCTCAGGAAGGTTCGCACACTCCTAGTCTAGTGGTGGTGGGCCCTTGACCTCTGATGTTACAACTAAGAATCGTAGTGGATAGGATAAGGTTGCTAAGTATAGAAGAGAACTGTGAAGTCTCTGTAATGACCTTGTTAACAAGTTGAAAGAGAACAAGATAGTTATAAGATACAAGTACAAGAATATAAATAGCAATCCTAGCTAGCCATGTACTCTGAGGGGTACATTCCCTTATTAACTGAATTGCATTGCTACAGTAACCTGCGACAATTGCCGTTCTAGTCAGTTACCATGTTGTATTTCACAACTGCCTTGTGCGGTTACTGGGCAGTCAAGGGTCACGACCGTTGACTGTCTTCGACTGTTGACCTTCGGGTGACCCTCGAACTTCCGCGTGCTCTATACGAGCTCATGCGGTACTGGTACAAGCACCTGCTTCGCTATGAAGAGATGCGATAGTGGAGAGTCTTCGAGAATGCTTGTGATAACCTTTCGGCTATCCCAACACTCCCCTTCATTCCTGAAGGTGAGCCACGCGGGATTTCTTGGTGATCCCGCAGAGGTTGGCGCAGTGCTGGAACTGTTGACGCGACAGTTTCTTTGTCAGAAAGTCGGCTGCCATGTCACCAGTCGGGCAGTACGTGAGCTTGACCTTGCCCTTGTCGATTTCGTCCTTGACGAAGAAGTAGCGAAGGGCGATATGTTTCGTGCGATTCACGAAGCCGGGTTTGTTTGCGATCTTGATCGCACTCTGATTGTCGCAGAGTAACTTGAAGTGCCCGTTCATCGTTACTTTCGCTTCCTGTAGGAGCTCCATCAGGTACAGTCCTTCGCGAACAGCTGCGCTGGCGGCGATGAATTCTGCTTCGGCTGACGAAAGGGCGATGAGTTCCTGCTTCTGAGAGTTCCATGAGATGAGCCCAGCAGGTTGGAGTTGAAAAATAAATCCTGTGGGGGAGCGTCTGTTGTCAACATCTCCCGCGTGGTCAGCGTCTACGTAGCCGTGCAGCTGCAGGGTGGCCGTTAAGTTAGCTTCGTAGGTGAGGCCGACGTCGGGAGTA